GGCTCCACCAGGAAGATCACATGGCTGGCTCCTGCAAGCAGCTAGAGGTATTAACAAGCAAAGAGACTTCTCAGTCCAATGACAGCACATCTATAAAGGCTTGCAGCGCAAGCTGATGGACACCAGCAAAGCCACAGAGCCTTAACCAGGCCAGATCTCCCGGTCACACCACTGGAGGTGCTTTATCTGAGGCAGCTAGAGGCCCACTGAAACAACGCAGCAGGTGTTGCCCCGTGCTCTGCCATGCCCTCACTATGCCAGGATGGCCAACAAGCCAGATGACCCAGCAGTGATTAGGGAACCACCATCTGCTTTTGGCAAGCCCCAATAAACTGGTAAAAACACTATCCATATGAAAACCTCTTCCAGTTCAAAGTAACAGCCACCTGCTGGAAACGCCACGGTGTAGACAGGGGAGCTGAGAAAATCTCCCACACCTCTCCCCACCAGCAGTGTCTGCCAGGCTAAGACGATCATTAGGCTATCAACTGCTGGTGTAAGTGAGCTGCACTGCACCACAGAACTGCCTGAACACTCAGTAACTCCACAGGACAAAATACGATGACACAGCAGGGAGATACAAAAGTTATTAGCAAGCCCTTGTCACAGCCTACGGGAATAGAAGGCAAAGCTCTACCTAGATATGTCTCCAAAAACAGCTGATCGTGACTGAAATACAAGTGACTGCAACAGATGCAAATCAGAGATGAAGGTAATTCATTAGTTGAAAGTTCAATTAACTGAGAGCCACAATTAACTGCAGCTCAGGAAGGTATCTAGACGAATGGTTACATACTGTGCTCAGTAAAGATGCTTTTCTAAGTGCAAGCCAAAGAGCAGCCCAGCAGAGCGCCACCAACCTTTCCACCCACCGGAGGGGAACCACAAGGCACCGCAGGGAGAACCCACTCCACCACTGCCCTGCTGCATCGCCGGCTTGGGAAGCGCGTGTGGAAAGCCATGCATAGCTCAACAAATAAGGGTGGGGTGTTTGGGTGTTGGTTTTTCTTTTTCTTTCCCCTTACCTGAGCTGTATCTGCTGCGCAAACAAAACATCCTGAATTGATCCGACGAAAACTTCTTCAGGAAATCCTAAACTCCACCCACAAAATATACAGCTTTAGCATTATATCAAACAATTTCTTCAGGAGTTATTCCTTCCCCTTACACTAGTTTCACACCATATTTCAGACAAACTAACATGGCAAATAACCCGTCTTTGCAGTTTAAGATGGGCATAAATCTTTAAAGTATAACACTAGTTTAAAGTCTAAACTAAATAAAAATCTAATTCCATAAGATAGATGGTGCATACATATATACAAGATACAAATATACACACAATGTCATATATAAGAGAGTGAGAAGTACTTTGTAATTATGATCAAACGTACACTGTACAAAGATCTTTGCAAAAAAACAAACTGAAATTATCAGACTAAGATTGGGATACAATCTTGCAGGAAAGGATACCTCTGAGTTTTGCAAACTTTACGAAAAAAAAAAATATTTCTTGAAAAAGAAAATAAGTGTACTTTTTCTACAGGACTAGAACATGAAAGAAAACAGCAAGTGAACAAAAATAACTTTAAAAAAAATATTCCTAGAATTTATCTGTGTTAATTACAAAACCTCATTAATTTCATCCTAGTATTTAACTAGCTTTACAAATAATTTACTATAGTAAACAGTAAATTATTACCATTACTACTAGTGTAATTAGTTTATACTAACAGTACAAAGAACTATTTAAATGCTTGGAAGGCACACTGATAACACATTCAGTCGATTCCAACTCTGCTCTCAGCAAGGCTGGACACCATGGCAGATTGACTGTAAACACTGCATTCCTTCCTTTTTTTTTTTTTAATCTGCAAATTGCTAATGGTAAGCTTGTAACACTGAAGTGCCACTGAAACAGAAAATCATAAGAAGTCAGTACAAGTGAGAAAATACGGAAAACGTCATTTGCTTAAAGATGCACATTTTGAAATGTAGCTTCTGCTACCAGACTACACCAACCTGAACACTGACAGCAGCAAAGCATCGGCTAAGTGGCATCTGTCATGTGAAAACAGAAATAATTGAGGCCATCAGGGCAAGCTAAATCAAGAAATAGACAGTGATACTGCTTGTTCTGGTGAGTGGTTTTGGTTCTGTTTGGTTGGTTTTCTTTGGGGGTTTTGTTTGTTTGTTTTTTAAATAAACTGTGTAACCGAGTTCAACCAACGTGACCAGAAGCGGCAGAACAATACGAGTAAAGTATGGAAATAAATTCCAGTTTGGAAAAGGACCATCCAAGCTGGGAAAACCAATTCTGCACTTCGTTAAAAACAGAACACAGAGAAAGCATCACTGCTCTTTCAAAGCAGGTTGCTTGTCCGAGTGTTATTGCAATGTGCTTGATTTTGGGGTCCAAAATAATAGCTATTTTTAAAAAATGAAGAGAAAAAAAAAGTCTGAGAAGGGGACACAGGGGAAGGAAAACAGGGCAGCTGGACGTGGGGCGGCCATGCCCAGGTGACAGCCTGGAAGGCAGATGGCTGCTGGCAGGACCAAGGGAATGCCACAGGACCTGTCCTGGACAGGCCTCCCCTCTTTCGCAGCAGGCACAAAAACCTCCACGTAGGACTTAACTTTCAAGATGCAAGAAGGCCGTACGGGAAGAAGTTTGTTTCACTGGACTGAAAATCTCTTACAGGGAAGGATTAATACTCATTAGCCATGTCTAAGGGCAGAAATTAGAGATGGAGACCCGCAAGGGAAGATTAGACAGGCCTGAAGTTTTTGTTTTCTCCATGCAAAGAAGTCCCACCACAGATGTGGAGGGGAACGTTTTCACACGTTACTTTTAACCGCATGCATTGCATTCACGGTCATTTCTCCACCCTGCCCACAGCACCGGCTGAGACTCAGGGAATTTCTGTGAAAGTTGTGAGCCATGGGTATTTTTCCTGAGGGAGACAGGGCTTAACTGTACCCAGACAGCATCAGGAGAATTAAGAATAAAGCAGCTCATACTGAACTCCTTTTTAAAGCGATTTTAATTAAGTCTTCCGAGAGCGGAAAAGGGAACATATGTGCTGAAACAGCTTCTCAAGCTTCGTCTAAAGGAAGGAAATTACCCACTTCTAGCAATAGGTGTCAGCCATCCCAGGAGCCACCCTAGAGCCAAGCACAGCTGTAGCACACACACCTGGCAGAGAAATCCTGCTCTGGGCTACCCCAAAAACTCTGGGACACAGTAAAACAGGACATATCCACGTGGCTTGAGGGTACCGCAAGACAAAGCTCTTTGTGCATCAGCAAGGTCACGGTATAAAAATAAAGAAGAATATGAGAGACAGCTGGCATAGTGCAGTCGCAGGACACCTAATAGCTTCCTGACAAAATGCTGACACTATGGTCCCATTTCACCTAAAACAGAACAGAGAAAAACACCTGTTCTTTTCTAAGTCCCAAAGGCATACGCGCTATTAAGAGCAGACAGAGAACCCATTGCTATAGAACAGAAAAGACCCCTGAGATCATCGAGCCCAACCACAAATCTGTAATGCAGAAGTCTCATATTGGGCACAAACACTGCTCCTACAAACGCTCTCAGCTCAGCGAGATCCACGTTAGAAGTAAACCCCAAGTCCGAGAGAGTTTCCTACACCCAGATCTGCAATAACAGGTACACCAGCACTGAAGAAACACTGCTTCGGGTCTTTCGCTGCAGTGTAAGCACACACTCCAAAGTTTTCTCAAAAGACGGCTGTGATTAGTATTCACATATTACAAACATAGATTACTTCGATTCACGGGCTGTGATTAATATTTACATATTACAAACATAGATTACTTCGATTCACAGAAATAGATTACCTTAATTGTAATGTAATTTTTTAATGACTTCGACATTTTGTCTTTATTTCCTTTAACATGCAGATGCCCTAGAACAAAAAAAAAAAAAGAATTAATCGGGATAAACAATCGTGCTTCTGAATGGGGAGTGAATGAGAAAGACTGCACTGAGACACTGGAAACGCTGGAAGCAGCATATGCTGCGATGGACATGCACCATTTCAATGCAACATGTAACCTTTTTCAATAGCTTTGTTTAGAATCCTGCACACCTTCCCATCCTCAACTTTTTCTGGGTCAATTTTAAAACATTGGAGAAAATAATGGTTTTTTTAAAAACAAACAAACAAAAAACCCCACAAAACAACAAACCAAACCAAACACCACCATGAGCAGAGACATTAATAAGGAAAAAACAAAGTCTCCCTGCTCAGAATTGCTAATAAACTGATCAAAACAAGCAAGGAAGTATTTTTTGGTCTTCACAGAAAAGTACCTTACCTATTACTCTTGACTTTTCAGAAATATTTTAAGATCATTAAAGATCTTCCAGTGATCTTACATTGCAATATTCTTGAAACTCAAACAATTTTCTGTACTTATTACTTGCTGGTGGCTGTTACGCTAATTTTTTTTTAATCCAAAACACCTTATGTATAAAATGAATTTTCTGCACATTCCCTATTTCTCCAGACTGGGGAGACTGAGGAAAAAAAGACGGAAAAGGGAGGGATGTAACTACAATGTCTATTTCGAATTGGCTTATTTTAAAATGCAATCTCTAAGCATTGCTAGAGCTTTCAATAGCTGCACAGATCATTGGTTTGCAGGGCTGTGGTACGGGAAAAAGGCAGTAACGATCTCCATCGCATTTAGGAGAGTGTGTAGAGCTCAGAGCTTTCAATCCTGAAGCTGTCGAAGCAAGACAGGAGATGGGCAACCTCAGGCTGCACGCTCCCAGGCCTTGGCTGTGCTAGCAACGGCACTGCTGCTGATGGAAAACACAATTATTCACAGCATCAGAGAGGTGCTGAACACGTAGCCAATAAAAGACTACTCAGCATCGTTTCAGAAATGTTGTTAAATGCCTTAATGGGTTTTTCCTAATAAAAAGGTAACACTGTAAGGTGCCCAGCACCCACAAGTAACATACAATTTTCAGGCACTTTGTGACCTGCAGAATCCAGCACTTAATCGTACTTAGAGGCAGATTTTTAAGTACACACTTTTCTTACTCTTTAATACGACATCAGCTTTCTGTATTCTTTCAGATTTGGCAGTCCATCATTACCAATGCCTCAGAGTGCTCTGCAAGGACAACATATGATCACGCTTCTGCTTTTACAGATGGTAGCAGAGGTGGCGTCTCTTGCTCAGAAGCCCATGCAGTTATCTGAATTTTGTGCTGTTCTCCACACAGCGCTGCTTTTGCAGCCTTGCCTGGAACCCCCTTTCTTCCACAAGGGGATGAAATCCCCATCGCACTCGTCTGAATACAAAGCATCATGCTCAGGCCTGGTAAAGAGACATGAAAAGCACCTGGTTTCACTTCTTAGCTATTTCTGACAATGATCGAAAGTAGTGGGGATTCACCGTAAGGAGGCTACTTCAAGTCCTTCCTCAACTACCTGGAAATTTAAGTTTGCACAACACACTATTGAGAGTAGAAAATAATCAAGAGATCTATGGATACAGAACCAGCAACAGCAGAAATCTAGGATCAACCCAAAAATCTTATTTTCATCGTATTTGTCTTGACTGCTAGCAGGTGAGGCCATTTTCACTGCTGCGTGGTTAAACTCGGGGCGCTCAGTAAGAACAGTCAGGCTGTCAGAGCCACCGGACACCTGCAGCTCTTGCAACTCAAGTAAAACCGACAGACAAACTTCTCCTGGGAGAAGGGGAAGAGCCTGGGTATGATTATTTTTTAATTTTGCAAAGGTGCCTGAATACTGACTTACTTAACTTTAGGCAGCCAAGCTTAAAACAGTTTGATTGTGTTTTCCTAATAAGGTACAGGTAACACCCGAATTTCTAAGTGCTGAAACTCATTATTTGAATGATTTCACTAAAGAATCACAAAACACAAGGATTTTCATAACTTTGGCTTGGCGCTCTTCCCAGAGCACAAGTAGTCTAAAAATAAAGTCCTTATAAGAAGACTGATCCCCAGTGCAGGGATTTTCTTCCTCTAATGGGGATTGCTCCTCCAATTATAAGCCTGCTAAAATTCTGAAGTCTGTTACCAGAATAAATTGTTTCTGAAGCTGATTAATTTGCCCTAAATAATTCACACTATCATCCTCCAGCAAAATTTTTTGACTTAATGAATGTAATCTGTCAGCTCCTACAGAACCTCAGTGTACAAATTGCCCTTGGAATTAAGTCCTTTTTTTCCCCCCTCTGTTTTTTTTTCTTAAGAAAATTTGACTCCTCTTTATTTAGTTACTTTCAAAGAGTATTTTACCTATAGTTTCAATTCCAAGCTTGAAAAGTCAGATTCACTGGTTTGCAACAGAAGACTACACCTGGCAGTAACCAGTGCATCTCTGTGGAAGCACAGAGAATTCCCCAGCACTTCAGGAGCAAAGCACACCCTGGAGGATGCATCAGCCTCTGGACAATTGCTATTGATTTATAGCAGGCTCTACACTGGGAACTGAAACTAGAATTCAATATTCATCCCACACAGTACAAATATATATAAAAAAGAAAGCTCAAGTAATTCCCAGAGTGTACCACAGGCTTAACTCTGCAGCTCTTATACTCAAAGAAGCAGCTCAAAGATTTCATCAAGACAACTTGCGCAAAGCACGGTTAAAATAGAGGCTGCAGACCTGAACCTGACTTCCTGTTGACCATCCAGAACCACCATGACTGCAACAGGAAGAACAAATTTCAAGGTTTCCATCTACAGGAACCGTGCTGGTACCATCAGACAGCAATGCAGTTCAAAGCACTGTACAGCACAAACTTCACTGGAGCACTGCTGTGCAAAGGCAGCAAGGAGCAGTTCTACCTAATGCCAGGCAGTATCGTATGCTGAAGACCAAACGAGCAAGAGATGCTTTGGTACCGTTTAGTCAGGTATAGCCAGTGAGGGCACTTCTAGGGGAAGAAACGAGGTCTATGACATCTATGAACTACACCAATACCAAGTCACTCACACTCCACAGGAAAGCAAAGAGACACTGAAGTTGGTTGGAGCACTAGAGAGGGTTAAGGGACAACAGCGACAAGACTCAATGTCTCCACTTTTCTATAGAGCCAAGGGGTGAGTGACTTGGTCTTTATGTAGCCCATAGATGTCACAAACTTCCTTGTCTCTACCCACCAGCAACCTCATTGGCCATGCCTGACCAGAATAGACCAAAGCATCTGACTCGCTCGGTCTTTAGCATGAATCTTGTTTCTCTTACCTGTCACTAGGCATAATGCTACTGGTAATAAAAAAGGCTTCCCAGGAGAATTTAAACAGTTATAGGTAGGTGAATTGCGCACAAAGAACATCCAGTGGTTGGTTGCTGCAGCCAAGCGTCTGCCTGCAAGGCTTCTCCCACATTCCAAACCATACAAAACATCTCAGCTCAGACATTTCTCTGCAGGATCACAACTTTGTGAGCTTTGCTGGTTCATCGGTTCCTGTATCTTAGCATTCTCCTCCAGTCTTACTTTCCAGTCATACAGATGTCTTCTCTTATCATGATTAAAAGCCTTTCACCATATTTACAGACACAGGCTGCTTGGTCCTGCATACTACTGAAAGCATTTTTTTTAAGCCCACAAGCAACTGGTGGTGAGAGACACTGGAGAACAAGACTGGTTTATTCTATTCTCAAAAACATTACAATCAGCTATGTGCCCACCTGCCACCTCCACTCCCTGCCTTCACATACTGTGGGTTCTGGTTCTAAGACAGCAGAAATTTCTGGTTTTAGGAGGACTACATAAACACATATGGAAAAGATCAACTATTTTCACCCTCTTCCTGCAGGACCGTTACAAAACAGTCCTGTCAGACCATTACAGCGAAAATACGATTGAAAAAAAGTCTATCACAAAGGCTACCCCCAAATTTTGAGGAAACTCAAGTGAAAGGGAATGCAATTCTACAGGAAAAACTTCTTTCCGCATTTTTAGTTAGAAGTAAACACTGTACATGGGTCACACACATACTGTTATTATCTGGAGATTTCCCCAGATGAATTTCAGGAATATTTCACTGTAACTGCTTTATTAAAGACATTCATTCTACAGTTTCAAGGTTCGCTCTCATTTACGTTTCTTCACTTAATGAGGACAGGAACTTAGTCACTGTAGTAGACCATCTGTTTTCATACCAGACAAATGCCAAACCTAAAAACCCAAACCATCACATTCATACAGGCCTCTCAGGTGATTAGTATTTTACTTACCAGAATGCAAAAAGTAATTCCCCCATTGCTCACACTGATGATACACCTCGCACTGTGCGATTTCATTTTCGTGATGAGGAAACGCAAGATCTATTCCACCAGTATGGATGTCCAGCTGCTTTCCAAACACTGCACTGTAACAATATTTTCCTGATCAATATGCAGAACACTACAAAAGCTTTTCACAAAAAAAGAAATACAGAAAAGAATAAGATGCAACAACATAAACGTAAGCGTACAATTGAATGAATGCAGTTTTAAAACAAGACTTTACACAGATCTTGGATACCAAAATTGCAGCAGAACTTGTATGGACAGGATCCATATCTGCCTACAATTAATTCTCCTTAGTAGAAGCAATGATTTTTTTCTTAAAGAATGGCAAGCAGGACATCTCCTTTCTTTGTTCTGCTACAGTTTCAGCATCAGACAGCTGCCTTCATCTGCAAACCCAACAAGTTTGAAGCGATGAACACTTCTGCAAATTTGGTATTGTAAATTTGGTATTGCTATTTTTATCTTGCACCATTTCTGTAAGAATTCAGGCAATCCTGTACACAGTCATGATAGTCCTATATTGTTATAATGTCAAAAGAAAGCATCAGTGCCTCTGATCTCCCAAGGCCATTCTTCTCATCCCAGCAGCACTGCTGCCTCAGTGCAGGTCACCCAGGGGCTTACACGGCACAGGCCCCTCTGCAAGTACTGGTGGCTGGAAGTGAGCTACATTCATGTAGCAACAGGACAGACCTAGACGCTTTCTGGTTAAAACACCAGGAGACAAGGCTGCCACACTCTGCTCACCGCTCCAGCAAGTTCCTGCTAGGTCACACTGGGCAAGAGAATAACTTCATTTTCCCATCTGTTAAACAAAGACAACGCTTAACTACTCACAGCAAGGTAAATCAACACTAACTGCCCACAAACCAGAGACATTCAAGCTGGGGAAGATGCAAGGCCTACACAAGTAGAAAATAAAAGGCAAGCACCTGCCCAGCCCCCCACCTCCCGGTCTTCCTATTCATCGTGTTAACAAATGGCTCCTGTTGGCTGGCTTGATACTAATACTTCTGTCTCTTTTAGGGACAAAACACCTTGTTAACACCCTGACTCGCAATGCTCTGCAGAAGCTGCAGAAGGAAACAAGGAAAAAAAAAAAAGAGGAGAGAAGACAGACCAGCTGTTGCCATTTCCCAAGCTCGTGCCCCTCTGCTTCCTCCCATCTGTTCCAAAACCAGCTTAAGCACAGCATGAGTGGCCCCAGCTCAAGCCTTCCCTTGTGCCTCCTCAGAGGCGCACTGGCCACTTGCTGTTTCTTCCAACAAAACCATTAAGAGCTGGGGAGGGGAGAGATGGGTCTCCAAAACGCTCAGGGGCAGGAGGAGCAGCCCATCTCACCGCAGGAAAACTCCAGAGAGGAGACCAGACCTAAGTCACAGCAGGTGCTTTCCTCCTCCAGGGCTGCACTAGAGACCAATGCCCTTCTCATTCACCTTCCCTAGGCACACTTCAGATTTTTCAAAATTAGTTCACCTAGCTTACTTAGAGCGCTTTGAGATCTTTGGCAAAAAGAGACAGGTAAGTAGGTATTGCTTAAGATGGGCCTTGGACAGCTGACTGGGACAGCTGTTTGAGGTGACTTACCAAAACAAGCTCTCCATTTCTGACAGTCCAAGATTACTACACTTATGCTCTGCATGGGTCAACTCCTATTCACGTGGCAGGAGCCTCATCCAGACACAGTGAAACAACTTGTTACAGAAAGAAATGCAGACTATAAACAGCACTGCATTAGCAGATAAGCCATTTCTGTCACAGGTTGCACTTCAAATCCAGCATGGTTTTGTGCACTTCAGTTGCTTTAAGAACAGTTTCACAGTACTGAAGCTATTTACACACAGAAAATCGCCCTTATAAACACTTTTCACAATCGGGTAGCAATGGCTAACAACCCCAGGTGTATCAGTAAAGCATATGAAAGAGAAACCCAAAGCACCTGCTCAATCTACTCTCAGCTTGAGTTGAAAACTTAAGTTAAACAGGGCCAGATCTAAATAATTTGTTATTAGCTTCCAAAAAAAAGATCTGAGACTAATGCAAAACTAACTACCACTATCAATCTTCCAGGAGAGAAGATTTAAAGTATCTTTTTTAAAATACTAATTGATAGGTCATAAGTTCATACAGTGCAGGACAAAGTACTACCAACCTGTGGAGAAAATAAAACTTCCAAGTTAAGAGCAAATTAATTTAAACCAACTACAAGCAAAACACTACTACGCACAATTCACATCATGCCGACAGAAGATACTGCCAGAAATCAGAATATTTAATACTGTGGCCGACTTTTAAAGAAAGCTGAATAACACTCAGATGATCAGCATGAACATCCACAACTGCTGTTAAGATAAGGCCAGCAAGATCTCATACACTCGCTGGATGGAATCCCATTCCCTGTCCTCCTGACACAGCACTACATGCTGGACTAGGTCCGATGCAGACTGCAAGAAGTCGAAGGGAGGCAAATGAAAGAGGTACCATAACTTTCGTTACTCAGTTCAAGTTAAAACAGACTTGCTAATCAACTATGTGATCCTGTATATTTTAAATACCCAAGTCTGTCTCAAAAGAAGGTGCCAAAACATGTCAAGACTGCTATGCCACTGAAGTGGAAGAGAGTTTGAGGCACACGTGACATCCCAAATTGCACAAAGCATTCACATTAAAACTGGTGCTTTCTCCCGATCAGAAAACACACTTTCAATACTGCCACTACCATTGTACTGTGACTGAAAACAAAAAACCAGCACTAGATTTAAAATCCAAGAATTCCAACCTTGATATTGTGGAACACTCAATGTGCCATCCAGGTCTTCCTTTTCCCCAAGGAGAAGTCCAAGATAGCTCTTGAGGTTTGGCAGCCTTCCACAGGGCAAAATCTCTACCATGTCGTTTATCAGTATCAACTGCCAAGATTAAGTGATTTGTTAATGGGATACGTCTCAAACACAAAAAAATGAGCAAATGAAAGCAAGTGGAAATGTGCGTTTAGTGAACTACTCAGATTTTAATCTCTTCCGCTTAACTTTTCCTGCAATATTCCACCCCTCCTCCTTATATAGGGCTTCCAGTTTCTCTATCAAGCAATTGAAAAAAAAAAAAAAAAGCCAAAACAAAACACCACAACAATATGTTAAATTAGATTTCTGCAGGCTAAAAAGATGGATTCATGGAGTCAAGATTCTTTAATACATCCTATCCTTTTAGCCCTTTTGGCCTTCTCTGGTTTTACATCATTTGCTTAGTTACTTATCAGCCAGTTTCCCAGGACAAACAGATTGCACCACAGCAGAAAAGATAACAAAACCAGCCTAACTCAAAACCCACAAAGAAAGAAAAACCCTACCATTTTTTCTCTGGGACACCAGTTTCTGGATCAGATTCTATAAAACCAAGAACAGGACAGAGATGAGAACTAAAACTATTCTTGGACAGCAGCAACCTTCTGGTACTGTTTTCACCAAGGGCTTCTCTACAAAGGTCTCCTCCTCCGCTGTATTTGTTGCTTCCTTCACTACACAGCCAAGGATATAGTCCTTTTTGCCACAGTACGGCAGAGAGGACGGTTCATCTCTGCTGGCTCCTAACTCCCAGCTGGATACACACCGCTCCCTGCAGGAGCTACAGAACAGGGTGCTGGACTCTGCATTTTTTTGCTGACAACTACACGACCTTGCATTTAACTGATGGAGGAAAATACACCTATTTGTCTTGAAGGGATCCAGCTTGGCAAGCAACTCGCACAGTTTTAAGTTCCCTTATTTAACACCACTCATCTGTTTTATCAGCAGTTGATGCCAGATTTACTTATTTCCACTACTTATTTCAGATCGCTAACAAAACCACAGTGTATCACTGGGCCCAAACTAATCCCTGGTGCATTCCAGTATCAGCACATTCTAATGATGATTCGCAGCTATTTTTGGAGATCTATTAGATGGACATTTTTCTTGAGCCATTCGGCTTGTGCTTTATTGATATTATAGAGTCAGTTTTTATTTTGAACATCATGCAATATTAAGGGAAGCACATTACAAAAATCAATTACACCTGCTTCATCATTCAAAATTGGCAAGAAATAAAGGGACAGAAATGTAACCCTAGTTTTATCCACTGAATCTTCACCTTGGCTCTTTCACTAACTTGCCAACCTCTGGCTGACGAGGATCTGTTGAATCCATCCCCGCTTTTGCGCCTTTTTTTTTTTTTAGTATACTGCTACAAAAAAACCCCATTCTTCTTGTTGTGCTTGCTTATAACACTTTGTTATAAGCAAAACAACAGTCAAAAATCTTCAGAAATAACAGTAAATTCAGTTGCAAGTGACTTGAGGGGAAACAGGATAAGACACATAATCAGTCACAGCTGAGGCTGGAAGGCACGCCTGGAGATCACCTTGTACAACCCCCTGCTCAGAGCAGGCTCAGCTACAGCAGACTGCCCAGAACAGTGTCCACTCAGGTTTTGAATATCTCCAAGGATGGAGACTCCACAGCCTCTCTGGGCAACAGGTTCTTGTGTTAACCATCCTCAAAGTAAAAAAAGGGTTTTATTAGGTTTAAATGAAAATTCCTGTGTTTCAAGTTGTACCTATTGCCTCTTGTCCTGTCACCAAGGACCACTGAGAAGAGCCTGGCTCCACCTTCTTTACTCCTCCCATCAGGTGCTTGTACCCAGGGGTAAGATGCCCCAGAGCCTTCTTTTCTCCAGGCTGAGCAGTCCCATCTCTCTCAGCCTTTCCTGATATCAAAGATACTCCAGTACCTCCACTGTATTTGTGGCCCTGTGCTGGGCTCTCTCCAGTATATCCACATCTCTCTTGTACTGGGGAGCCCAGCACTGAACCCAGCACTCCAGGCATGTCTCACCAGCACTGAGCAGAGAAGGATCAGCTCCCTTGACCTGCTGGCAATGCTCTTCCCAGTGCAGCTCAGGAGGCCGTTGGCTGCCTTGGCAGTCAGCGACTGCCTCTAAGTAATCGTCAACAAAATGCATTCCCTCTGTGAGTTGTAATGCTGAAACAACTCCAGAGTGGAGCTGTCGGAAGTTTCTGGCAGCAATTCACCTGAGCATCAGCCTGCCAGGCATTTTCAGTAATTGCAAACAGATTTATTTTTTTTTCCCCTCAGTGAAGAAATATCGAACTTCAGCGTGCAAAAGGATGCGGGAGACCTGCATCGATTTCTCCAACACACAGACTCGATCAGACCCCACTTGCGGAAACTACAAAGAGGCTCAACAATCCTGCTCAGCAGCTGGGCATCTGCAGCAAAAACCACGCAGCCCAGGGTACAGGCACGCTCTAGCATAGAGACTATCAAGAGGTTGCTCACCCTCACACAAATAGGCTGTTTAGCAGCAGTCAGGTGGTAAGTAATGAAAGAAGCAAACTCACCCAGTTAGCATGCATCAGAGGAGCACAACTGCCCAAACAGTAACACCATAGATGAAGTCTCCCCGCATTTACCCTTGACTACCTCACCACTGGCTAGTGCAACATCTGAGACCGCCACCCCACTATGAAGTTTGTATATACCACTCCCAAGTACTTAAATAAAACTGGTTAAGAATCCTAATTGTTTTAAGGTACCAGAACAAGGGTATAGATGGAACCAAGTGTGAAAAGAGACCACCAAGTTGCCTCTTGCACTGGCAACAGTGAGTGTCTCAATAAATAATTACAAAAGCAACGTAGTCTTAATTAACCACAAAGCTAGCTATACCCAACAGGTTAGAAAACTGTTTCAGACTGTTGAATGAAAGCTTACGCACAGATCCATCATGAGTTCCAGCAATGCATTAATACAAACACATTGGTGCCCTGAACTTACCTGCTTCCTCTTGGGTATCAGGATAAATAGTAGTTAATACTCCGTATCTTTTTCCCCAAGATTTAACATCAAAATAAACATTGCCTAATAGAAAAAGAAATGTTTAGTTTTATACAAAGATGGGGCACATTCAGGAGGACAATTCCCTGAAACCAAACCAAACCAAAATGCCCTTCAACTCCCATTTAAAAGTCTGATTTAGAAATTCAGAAATACTGCAAAAAGTAGTAGCAGATGTGTCCGTGTTACCAGCTTTCAGTAACCTCACTGCATGTGCTCATTCTGCACATAGCATAACTTTGTATTCTGGAGATCTCCCCCCCAGTTCTTCCCTGCCCACGCACAATCAGCAATCCCCTCCCTGACTGCAGTGCAGCCTACTGCTACTCTAGTTATAATGTTCTCTAATTTTAGCTCTGCTAAAAAAAAAAAAAAAATAAATAAGAAAATCCATGCATTGTGCTTTGCAGGCACATCTTTTGCAGCACATTGGAGATACCCACTTCCTGTTTAGAGCTAAGAGGTTCCCCCAGCTCTCCTGCAGAAGCCAGGCCAGGACTTCCCCACAGAAGCTTAGACAGCAGTTCGTTACAGTAAACAACTATACTAAGTAATGAGCTACATTTAACTTAGAAATTGAGTAATAGTTGTTCTGCCCACTCACCTCATCACAAACGAGTTGCTCACACCCTGCCTGTTAATCAACAGAAGGAAAGCCTGGCACAAGGTATCTCATCTGATCCCAAAACAGGATTATTAAGAGCGCTGATTTCCTGTATGTGTGCTGAACAAGGAGTTGCCTTGCTATAAGTCTTACCTTGTGAGGTCGCGTAAGCTTGTCCGCTAGCAATTATTGTTTTTATAAAGGAAATTATCTGAGGAATATTGTCAGTCACTCTCATATATACTGTAGGAGGAAGGACCTTAAAGAAAGAGTAACATCTCATTAGCCTGTATGAAACACACTGCTGACAAGTTCCTTCACTCTGAGAAACAAGCTTTAAAAGACATTCTCCTCAATTTTATCTTTAGAAAAAAACCAAGCATTGCAAGTATCACAGAAAGGCCATAAGCAGCATTTAAGACAATACACACACACAAAAAAAAAAAGGTTTAGGGTAGCAAAAAAAAAAAAAAATTCCACCAATTTTTCCCAGTGGCTTACTCCCTGCTTCTGACCAGCACTTTGGACAAGAAGCAAAGTCACCTGAAGTCAATGAAAAAATATTTCATGTTTCCTATGCTTTAGATCAGGCTACTCCTGCATTACAGTAAATACGTATTATCTGTGAACCAAGGTTCTAGTGCATGGGAAAAAAAAAAAAAAATTGTGTTCCCGAAGAAATTTAAACTTGTTCATTCCAAAGCTAGGGTTTGCTTCTCCCCCCATTTCCTTACTCAAAAGGTGTGCAATATCTTCCCAGAAGAACGGTAAAGTAAATCAGCACTCAGTTTCCAAGCAACGCTTTCTCACACAAGCAATCAATTTATTTTTTCAGATCAAACTGTCAAGATCAGATTCCTTACCAAAACAATTGCTTTAAAATACTCTTAAATTTAGAAGCTTGAATATCTGTACCTGTAAGGCAGCCATATCTCGCTTAAAGTCTTCTTCATAAATACGAGCAAGAGCTACTGGCGATATATTCATCTGAGAGAGAGAGAAGCAGATGAGTAAATCATAAATCAAAGTAATAATGTAAAATATTGCAATCTTTTATCAGAGAGTTAATAGCTAATTGGAAGACTTACAGAGCCCTCGAGGTAAAGAGTCAGAAAGGGTTATTAATCTGACATTTATGGGGAGGAGATGTAAGTTATAACTACCTTAAAAGTAGTATTTCATGTACTCTTCTGAATTGCCAAAATATTAATACGTATCTTTTAAGAGAAAGCAACCAAAGATTAAAATAATAAACTCCTTCCCTCTCTCATTTTCCTCTTGAGAGTGTCTTCCATTTCCAGTGACAAGATATACTACAGTGCACGGGACGTGAAATTCATTCAACTTACTGGCAGGGGACAACGATACCACCTACATGTCAGAAAGACAGATCAGAGACTTGCAGGATGAGACAGGATATTAATTTTCGGTGATTAAGAAAAATAAGCTATGTCGGCTGATGATGGTTACTCAATGATCTCAGTACAAGCCGAGGAAACAAACTGCAAGTCAGTGCCATGCTTCGCCAAGTGCGGCACTTCTCAAGCGCCTTCTCAGTGTTTCTCAGTCACGGGGCGATGGACAGCAACAGGCATCCTCACAGAGGTAACGAGAAAGTGCAACCCGAAAACAAAGAGACAACTTGCACATGACAAGATACTTGTTCCCAAATATTTGGAAGAGGCCAGGGCTTGAAAGATGCACAATTGCAAAATCTGCCCTAGCAAGCAAAAGCACGATATCAAAGCGTTTCAAGTGTGAGCTTTTACATCTTCTCTGAATGAAAACCTACTGGGGAGAAGACAACATACTGTCAGTCTCTCCAGCTTGCAGATAACAGAATAATTAACAAAGTAAATCCAGTTTCATCGCTTCCAATTCACTACTGGAGCATCTTTAAGGGGTCTCATTTTCAGACCGCAGGTGGGTACCACTATTTGGACAAGCTCCTGGACAAGGCAGGAGTTCTGGCGAAGACAGACCAGGTGCCCACCCAGCAATGAAACAAGGAAGATGCTCAGCACTGAGAAACGAAGACATGCTTCCGCCTACAGACCCCAGCGACTGGACTCATCTCCCTAGACAGCTCAGCTGCTTCTTCGACCAACAGACACAAAGGTGCCTGTAGGAGGAAGACAGGAAAATTCCTCACATCCAGATGGATGTTCAAAACACAAAGAGACTCATCTCTCTCTCAAAGGGCCACTGAGGGCATGCAGCATGCTCATCATAGACTAGATGCCCAACTGTCAGGTTTTGTCTAGATGAATCCCACCAGAGGATGGAGAACAAACTTAGGCATCTCGATCCTACCACTGTAATGCTTCAGATATAGAGGTCCCAACAACTAAATCAGGCTACTGAGGTAGAGGCCTTGGCCACCCAAAGAAAACGTGCAGAGCAAGCATTTCAAAAAGTCACCAAAAAAAGCCATGAAACGATTATTTCTTAGAACTAAAGAATGCAGTAAATGAACACAAATTCTTTTAAAACATCATGTCATTTCCCCCTCCTCAAACATAAAATCTCCATAATGTTCTGACAATAAGGAAAAATTTTTAAATGCACACATAAAGATTTAAAATGCCTGGGGTTTTAGGGTTTTTGTTTGGTGGTGGTGGTGGCTTGGGAGTTCTGTTTTGTTTGGCTTTTCTTAGATGGCCTACTGCCTTAGAAAACTGTAAGTAAATGGACTAAGGGAACACACATGTATTTCTACAGGAGTGGTGTGCCAGTATTCATTTGAATGCAGTGCTCCATATTTAACTGCAATAGTAACTGTTTACTTAAAGATTAAATAAAAGTGAGAGCTGTCAAATTCTCTGGCTTCAAGAAACTAGCTTAAAGCTTACAACTGCAATTTGATCCAACACATTCATTGATGAGCCAGAAGACAGGAGTTACAGATTCTAAAAAACAAACCAAAAAATTCAGAAGGCAGAGTAAAACACAGAATACATTCTTAGTGTTTCAGGGCTGCATGAAAATAAGCGTGGCCAGCAGGATGAGGGAGGTGATTCTCCCCCTCTACTCCACTCTGGTGAGACACCACCTGCAGTGCTGCATCCAGCTCTGGAGGCCTCAGCACAAGAAAGACACGGACCTGCTCGAGCGGGCCCAGAGGAGGGACACAAAGATGACCAGGGGGCTGCAGCACCTCCCCTGTGAGGACAGGCTGAGAGAGCTGGGATTGTTCAGCCTGGAGAAGAGAAGGGTCTGGGTAGACCTTATTGTGGCCTTCCAGTCCTTAAAGGGGGCCTGCAGGAAAGGTAGGGGCAATGTTTTTAGCAGGACCTGTTTTGATAGGACAAGGAGTAATGGTTTTAAACTAAAAGAGGGCAGATTTAGACCAAATATAAAGAAGAAATTTTTTATGATGAGGGTGGTAAAACACTTGAGACAGGCTGCCCAGAGAGGTGGTAGAAGCCCCATCCCTGGAAACATTCAAGGTCAGGTTGGACGGGGCTCTGAGCAACCTGATCTGGCTAAAGGTGTCCCTGCTCACTGCAGGGGGTGGGACTAGATGACCTTTAAAAGGTCCTCTCCACCCCAAACTATTTTATGAAAAAGCATTTAAAAAGAAAATTTTAAAACTGTAATACTTTTTCACCAAGCTCAGCTAGTAAAAAAGGACTGATTAAAATCCAACTGAGAACCACTTACATCCCCAGTCTTATCAAGACTTACCCCTACACTCAATACCAACTTTCATGTAGGTGACAAACTGACAAGACGGATAAAGCTGTCCAAGGTGTTGACGTTGCAGCTAGATGGTGCTTGGCACCTTTTGGAAACCGCCCTCAGCCTCACGCGTGGCAATCCTATACATGTCGCCTTTAACGACCGATAGCACATGCAACACTTCTCTAGAACTCAGCCAGCAGCCGGGAGGCCTCTAAGTTTCAGGTCGCTTTTGAGGTGCTGCAACACAGCCCTCCTCCCTGCCTCTCCCCCCTCCCACAACTCTGCATCCCTTTACCTCCTCCACATAGCTCTCAATGCCCAGCCGTCTGGACTCCCAGCCCCGTGACAGCCACGCTAAGGGACCAGAAATCTCAACATTTATTATCTACTAATTAAAACAAATAAAACTCAACAAAAAAAAACAAAACCAAAAAAAAAAAACCAACCACAAACCCAGGTTAATTTTCCTATGTAAGTAGCTGTAGAAAATACTAAAAGCTTAAGTCAAAGACTGCAGCAAACACCTACCTCATTGGCTCTTTTTATTATCTTGTCATCTATGTCTGTGATCCCCATCACCATAATAACTTCAATTCCAAAAAACCTAGTCATTATCCTTCGAATTATATCAAATCTAACATAGGAGCTGGAAGAGAAAAAAAACATGAGCTTTTAAACATGCAGTAATAAGTATAAACTTAAACAAAAATAACCAACAGCACTAACAGCCACAGGGACAATCCAAATACCCCACACTTGCAACTAAAAGGTCTTCAGTGCATAAAGTGCTTTTCCAAAACCAGTTACCACCTGCCCAAAAGTCAAGTAAATTTCCCTTGAACTGGCCTACCCTCTTCTGGCATTAGTGACACATTACATCAAATTTTCTGAGTGTTTTGTTTTGTGGCATCTCTTTATTCAAGCACCAAAGTGTGTCGGAAGCTACACGTGAGCCGGCAGAATCTCTCAAAGTGAACAGTAAGAAATAAGACACACAGATCAGATATTCTTGAAATACATCCCTCGGGCTTTGTAGATTCTAACAGGTTTTCAAAAGCCACAGGGCAGAAGAACAGGGAGAAATAAAACAGGGTTCAAATGAACTTTGCTTAGGGCTGAGTAACAACTACAGCTACCAGCCACCAACGAACAGTATTTCCTTCACACACCACCACAGACCTTTTCCGATAGCCAAGAACAGCTGCTCTGTGGGTTCTTTTATTTATACCTGAGAATAAACACTCAAAATTACTCAGGCTGTATGTCACAGGAGTATTTAATGCTGATAGACTGACATACCTACAAGTTGTACAGGGCTGCGTCAGCCCCTTCTGCTGCTCACAGGCTCTCCGCTTGGAATTCTCAAAACACACTTTGATTGAGTAAAACCCAATTATTAGGTGAGATATTAGAAGGTGACTAGGGTCTCTGCGTCTGCACTGAAATGCGATGAGGATCCTCAGCCTGAGCTGGTTTTGGAGAAAACAGAGTCCGAAAGGAGACTCACAGGTTCCCATTCCACCCACAGCACCATACAAACTGCAACTCCCGTGGCGTAAGCAAATACTGGAAAGGAATTTGCATCCTTCCCCTTAGCTGCAGGGACCAGGTGGCATTAAAGTTCAGATTTATGGATGTGTAATATCTTGATGAAGAAAAGTACTTTTTGCTGTTGTTGTTTGCACTACGCCCATGTTGAAAAAGTCTTTTTGAAAGCCTTGCTGCCAGAGATAGTTTTTAGCATTTTTAATGAATACCAGCTCACTGAGAGTAAGGTTCAAGTAACGGGGTGACACAATTCCATAAGAATATTAAATTGGTCTTTGGACCCTGTTCAGAGGAACAATGCCAGCATCAAAAAGCTTGATATTAGATTTAACAACCCCGTAGTCATAGTTCCCAGAGCAGACACAAATCTCACACTGTTCCCTCTCCTCTGATCTTCCAACTGAACTGATGGAAGAAACACTGGAAGAGCCAGAGCAGACCTCCTGACACCTCGGAAGGCAGGGTCCTTACCACTTCAGGACCAAAAAGAATAAAAACCAGACAGTTAAAATCAGAGGGGTGGCAGAGCAGGCACAAAGGACTGAATGAAATCTCCTCTCATGCTTGTTTTTACTCTTATTTCCAACCATTCAGCCAGAAACCTGGATGCCAAACAGGCTGCAGCTCACACCAGCATGGTCAAGGCCAGTCTCAGAATAGATGGAAAAGATGGCATTACCTGCCCATCTGCTTTTTTTCTTTGTATAGAATGAGCTCTGGATGTTGTACTGAGGTGTACAGAGCACCTCTTTCAAAAACTGGAAGCACGACATACTAGAGAAACTTGGATTATTTAGAGAAATAAGAAATCCTTGTGGAAGAGGAGGAGGAGGGAGAGAAAAATAATAATGCCATTACTTTCAAATCCTTCTCAAGGATCTCAAGCTCGTTTCCATTATTCATTTCTGCATTATTACCTGCCATATTTGTGGTGCTTGCCACAAGTCAAATGTAAGGAGGAGTGAAAAAAAGAATTCCAGTGGTAAAATACCATATTGCAAGAGTACAACAAAATGACAGTATTTTACAAGAGCGGTATGGTAGCAACAGCCATCACCCCGTTTGACTTCACGCTCTTTCCCAGTGCACAGCCTGGCTTGTAGGCCCCCTTCAGCAGCACGGATTTAAGCCGTGCCTACCAAAGCTCTACAGTTGGACCTAGCTACTGGGAAAAAATACACAATTTAAAAAATAAACAAATAAAATCAAGAGTGCTCCACCATCCTGGAGGAATCAGCTGAGCAATGGGATGTCAACACTGACACGTGCAAAGACTACATACGCTGGGAAGGAACAGCCAACCCCTCCCATGCTGGAGGATTTAAAACAATCAGAAGAGAGAACGGAAGGTCTTCGGCGCAGGCATCTTGCCACACAGGGCAAGGGACAACACGCGAAGGTGCTAAAGAGGCAGCAGAAAGAGGGTAACACAGCTACTTATCTGCAAGATACACCGCTCCAAAGGCAACATTCGGCCCTAACTACTCTTTCTTAAATCAGCAAGTGAAGAGGTCAAACCCAGGTGGCACGGAGGTATGGCAAGCCTCTACATCAGGAAAGCCTGAAATTGTTAAGATTAGACACAGGGTAAGTAGAGATGGGTAAGAGAACAGGCGGAGCGAGCAAGACCTTCCTCCTCCCTCCTTTAATCAAAAAAGCCTGAGGGGAGGAGAATAAGGACAACCACTGGCAAAACCAGACATTCAAAAGCCACAGAGCGCTACAAGACCAGAAGGTCAAATTCTCCATCTCTACAAACACTGTGCTCTAGATCCACTATACCCCTTAGGATGGCAGCACTTCTGCAATTCCCTTCCCTGTTACGCCATGCCAGGGAAGACAGGCCCTACCATGCTAGAGAACCTCGACTGACTGATGAAGACAAGAAATTTATTAGTGCCTTTTTACACAGTTGCTCTCAAGTTCTAAATTGTTTTGTTTTCAACTTTAATTATTTCAAGCTAAACTGTAACCTAGCCTCTATTACAATACCTGCAGATTTAAATACACAAACTGCTACAATATTTTTTAAATATTAAAGTTCCCCTGCCCTGAAGGTACTAAGTACAAACAAAATAATTCAAGACATAGTTTTCTTGATTTTTAGATTACCAATAAAAAGCCAGCTTAGTTTTCTGCTAAAACTGGACAAAAGCAAGGAGGAAAAAGACACCACCACATACACACCACAGCATAGCAGCATTTAAGGAGAGGTTGCCAGCAGTATTTTTACAAGATTGGTATTTTAAAACTTCCCTTTTACAGACAGAAGGAGCAGTTGTGCAGTACTGTGACAGCCCAACATTGAGCAAAACTCGACACAAGTTTCTGAATGAAGCTGTGATGGGACCAGAAGCTGTGAGGTGCCCGACGTGAAAAGGGAATTACTCAAATACACTCTTCCAAGGAGCCAAAGGCATCTTGTTCTTGAAGAACCAGCAGACAGGAGACAAACAACCCACCCGGCCTCTCAAAAAACGTTCTTAACGCTTTCCACCCCGCTGTTCTGTCTCTGTCTGGGACGAGCTGCACCAACAGCCCCCGTCAGTGTTTCCTGAGGCCGAGAGGAAAAATAAAATGTAAGCCAACAGGATTTGCCCTTTGCACGGACCGGGAGGCGAAGCACCGGCACCCCGCAGCGGCTCCCGGCGGGGTCTGCCACCCGGGCGCGGAGTGTCCGCCACCGCGGCAGGCCTGGGGATGCCCCGCACTCCCACCGCCGGGCTCCCACCCGCGCCGTGCCCACGCAGGACGGGACACTCTTTACCCCCCCCCCTCCCCCCCCCCGCCGCGATTCGGGACGCGACTCACCAGGCGTGCCCGAGGTGCGCCCGGTCATACACGGTCGGCCCGCAGCTGTACCTGCGGAGAAGGGAGGCAAACGGCGCTCGTCACCCCCTGCCGGGCCGGCA